AATAATAACAAATAGACATTCGTTCAGCGTTTTGTAATCACAGTTTTCCACGTAATAATTATACTGTACAACCACTTGTAAGGCTATCGTTAATGAAAGTTGTGTCAATTTTTATATTTCCATTTCGTAAGAACTAAATTAAAAACGACTATTTTGCTTAAAACTTATTTTTTATTATTTTTATCATGGTGTAACGATAAATTCTAGATGAATTGCCTACACACAGCGCCGTCTTCCTTTCGATTCAGTACATCATAAATATTTTATGTTCATTAAACCCAATGTTATAAATCAATAATAAAACTACGATCAAATATTGAATGGTTATTTTAAAGGACCGGTTTTCTAATGTATAAATAGATTTTATAAATGATTGGTTTAATATCACGTATGATAGGGGTCAAAATTCGTGTAGAAGTTAATATCTTATCCTGTCACAATGACTATAATATAAGAACTTATGTATTTTATTTTTAAATTTTAGTAAATCACTGTAATATCAAATACATAACATTTTAAAATCAGAAAATACAAAATGTACAAAAATGTAATTCAGATTCTATTTTTTCAATGCCTCTTTTTTTTTTTTTTTAGTTACTTTTAGTATAAAAATACTTGGATCAAAAAAGTCTTTTTTATAAATTAAATTGTTTAACTAAATTTTTCGAATAAATATTCTTGAATTAAAAATAATATTATCCAGTAAAAACAAGTCATGCAAGGCTATAATTTTATATTGTGTTTTGAGGCCAATAGTGAAAATTATAGTATGATGATTTCTTGCGATATTTATAAATAAAAACAATTAATTATATTATTATCATCAATCAAACAGTATAAAAAGAACCGAGACACCACTACAATGATAATTAATATAATTTTTATGCGAAATAGTAATCCTTTTGTCAATAATACACTGCTAGCACAAACACGTCATGACCGTAACATACACAATGTCTACAACAAATAACAAATTGAAGTACGATTTGAAGTGGTTGAAGCACCTGAAATGTAATTAGATAATAGTTTATAAGTGTATATATAGACCGGCGAGGTTCAACCAATAAAAACGTATATAGTGATTCATAATTATGCCATATAACTTTAACAAGATTATTTTTTTATCAATAAACAAATAATTATCATTAATGTCATCATAGGCGCCCGTAATCATGTTGACGCATATAATTCTTATAAATTCACAAGTTATATCAATATTCTAGAATTACAAATATATCTATATAAAAAATAATTAACAAAATAATATTACGAAATTTAGTATTGTAGATTTTATACTGAAATAAGAAACAATGAAAAGTCATCTTTGTGACAAATTTTTAAATTTGGGTTTGCAAGTATTGTCTAGAAAAATGATTTCCGCTTCCGTTTAAGAAGAAACTTATACAAGTCATTCGTAAACCCAGTGGTGTATTGGAGGGTATACGGCGTATACCCAATACTTTATTTTTATTCATGGCGTATAGCTTACGATAAATTGATGATACGCGGGTATACGGCCGTATTTAACGTATAGCTTGTAATTTAACAAATAACTATATAATACTTTGACTAACTTAACTTGTGGTTATATTTATGACGTGAATCGGTATCGGATATATCATTATTATTATTATTTTTTTTTTTAATGAAAAATTCAAACTTGTTATTATTTAACAACAAATTTTTGCTATCAAACAGTCATAAATAAGGATGTGTAGTTCATGATTGAGTTTTATTGGTTCCTGCCATATGATAGTTATTATATGAAATAACGCGTATACCCATGATTTATTTTAGCAATACATCACTGCGTAAACTCTTGAGTGGGACCGCAACTGGTGCTAAATACTATAGAAGACTATATACAACTTTGTGTGTTTGGAATCAATCCGAAACCTCCGATCATTTGATATTTTTGAACTCCGAAAGACTTATTATAAAAATTTGTAGTAATTATCTTCCAGTCCGGCGCATTTAGTTCGTTTTTATTCGCGTGAATTTTTTTTTAAGTCTCGTATGAATTTCGTACTGCGCGGCCTTGTTACGAAAAAACCCAGGTCTTAAATACACACCGGATAGATATATAGATCATAATAGCCAAGTATAGCAATTGAAGTCAATTTTTATAATTGCGCAAGAACGCGTCTATTCGAAATTGATGCGATGGTCGCTTCCTGTTTTCCTTATCAATGACGTATGCGAAACAGAGACTTAGGTCCAAAACTACTTTAACACACGTGTTATGGCTATAGAAGCATCTCTCAACGGTGTAGGTCGCGAACAGTTTTTAATGGGTAAAATGAAATATTTTTATTGAAAAAAAAAAGTACAAATTCAGCACTATGATCTTATTTAAAGCTATACAAATTTGGTCAACATTTGCGGAAACTTTATTATATTCGATTAGCTAGGTTCAGTGAATTGCGTCCCATAAATAAAATGTTAATCCCCTCTAATCGTTCTAAGGAATACAACTCTAAATCTCTTGGCTGAATTAGCACCAACGACAAATCGGACAACCAACACTTGTGAGGCATTTCACTCTCAATTAAATAATCTGTTTATCACTAGCCATCCATTATTTACAATTTAATTAATGTTTTACAAAATATTCAGTCTGAAATATACATATATGAAGTAATATATGAAATATAAGTATATATGAAGTAATGGATAAAGAAATATCCACTAAATTGTCGAAAATGAAAATTATATTAAAAAAAAAATATTGAATATAATAATAAATTATTGACTAGGTTCGAATACAGTAAAAACTCAATCAACCATCACTGTCGAGACCGGGACCACGATATTTCTTTCAAGTTCCAATGATTAATATTTTTGACAATAAAATATCTAGTATAAAAAAATATAATAAAATAATAATATTTTCCAATCATTTTTCAAAAATAGTTAACTAATTTAATTAATTGATTAAATATTTTATTTAATCATCTATTTCAAAAATTTTACAACATTCTTTAGTTAGAAATAAAAAACAAAATAATATTTTCTCTAAAACAACGCTTAACTACAGAATATTAATTTATTTTCAGATTTTTTCGAATGCACCCCTACATATTCTGGATAGAGTTTGTTTTACTTTGTATATTTTATTTAAAATATTGTTGATCGTCAAAGTTATTTAATCAAAGCGTACAATTTACCACTATTATTAATTCGAGGATATATGTTGTTTCCTTTAAAATTCAACAGCATAACCTAGTACACTGACATTTTCCGTATGGTAACATTTTCTGATGCTTTCATGGAGTGGATTGTTTTCTTATTCGGCTGTTTGTTCAAAACTAAAGTGGCAATTCATTTAGTCGGTGGGATTTCATAATAAGTTTTACTACATTTACGATTGTCACTAAAATTATGAATAAATAATTAAATTAAAAAGCTTACGTTTACCAAATAATTATGTTTCTAAGAACTTAAATATAGACGCACAAGCCCACCCGATCTCGAGGTGCACTTAAAATTAATTTTTTTACCCAGTAACCTACTTGATGTGGTGTTGCCTTAATATAAAATTATAAAGGTTTTCGGCTTTAAAATTATCTTTCTCAAAAAATAAAAAAATTGATTTTATCTATGTGAGGATTAAATTTGGTTACGTAGATAAATAATTGACGTTGCTATCAACTGCTGATCACTGCGCAACGCTTTTAAACAATTTTGTTGATGAATAATTAGGGTTGCCAGATTTTGAAATTCTTAAATCGGGACATCATATTGAATGGCTTTTTTTTTGTTTTTTTTTTTTTTTTGATGTAACGTTATTATGCGGAAACAATAATAAGTATATAATTTTGTAATTTAAATATTTATTAGCTAATAAAAAAATACATTATTATTCTATATAACCATGTTGATAACCATAATATAATGATATAATGTACAATATTATTCTATGTTTTAATAATAAATAATACAATATTAAATGTTATTATTAGGGCTCGGATTTAAATGCACTGAAAACCATACAAATATGCTCTAAAAATAGCCAAAAATGTCCTTAAAAAATGCATTTTACCACAAAAATGAAAAAATGACATTTAATTTTTTATTTTGGGCATTATTTAACACACTATTTAATACATTAAAATCACATTCACACACACGTAATACGAGCAACGTCTGTGAGGTAATATAAACTATAGCTGATTATTTGTTATTTGATCGAATACTGGTGACGTTCCATAGTCAATAATAAATTAAGATAAGATGAAAACTGAATCGAAAAATAAAGATTGACAATGTGTACAGAAAAACCCGATAAACCTACTAAACCTACTTAATATCAAGAAAATAATTTTTCTTTTGATTTTATTTTGAATAGGCTAAATTTGTTTAATATATCGAACAAATATTCATTAAAAACCAACAAAATGACCCAATAATACTAAAAATGAAAAAACGTCGAAACATGCAAAACAACGTAAAATAAAATTTGTAGTTTTGAAACCCTCGTTACATGAAACGAATTATGTTCTTAGAGAGCATTGTGTATGATCAACCAAAAAAATATGCACTTTGCATTGAAATCCGGGCCCTAGTTATTACCTTTCAGCTTCTATTAACCGGGACAAAGTGATTGATCGGCCGGGACACCAGGACATACCTTTAAAACAGGAACTGTCCCGGTCAAACCGAATGGCAAGCTTATGCATAATGTTTTTAAGTGTTTTACTATAAAATTATAAAATTTAATTAACTATAACTTCAAAACTAAATTCTTGCGTCAAATTTCACGATAATTTTTTCTACCCAAAAAATGACCAAGTCCCCCCAAAAAAATTTGTCAACATTTTTAGGGTGCTCCGTAAACTAGAAATATTCCAAAAGGTTACCCTGCTTGCGAATAACCGTGTGCGGATGGTCGTTAATGAGGTGATAACGCGCACGGGTATCACGACCCAATGCCTGTCACCGCAACGCCACAACAACAAACAGTATTATCTTTAATTCTTATCTTATCGACGTCCGTGTTTAACATTAACCGGCTGCGCTTTGTCCATAGAGTAATTACTCTATGGCTTTGTCGCAGTTTAACGAGAAATAAACAATAACGAGAAATTCAACGCTCCAATAATAGGTACTATGAACCAAACATTACAATATCACCGTTGGTGACGCGATTATCGAACCCATTTTTTTTCCCCGACCGATAGCTGTTCGCTTCCGCCGTCACCGTTGTCGTGGCACGCGTACACGTTCGTCAACAGTCATCTTCGATCGCCGTAGTCAACCAAGACACTGTTGCCCGGAGTTGACGACCGACCCGAAAAAATAATTTCAGCTCGGAGGTTTCATTGGCATCGTTCGAACCCCGTTGTCCGCCGGAAACCCAACACCACTCGAACCACGCACAATGAGCGACGGTGAGTGTGTTAAATGGTATTCCCATTGTTTTTTGTTATTATATTCATTTAGACCGATAATTAATCTTTTATATTTGCGATCAAACGCCGCTCTTGCTGCTATTTCTTTTCCACTGGTTTGTTATTATCGCTATTCCGTGAGCACCGCCGTGTACGTCAATAGCGCAGATGGACAAAGTCCGTGTACTTTGTTACCCAATTACCAGCCCGGCTAGTAGGTCAATTGAAACGAATGATGCATTTATTTAATATTATGTACTTAGCGCTATCAGTTTAGTGTTTGACCGAGCACTGAACAGTTTCCACAGTATAACGTTCTGATCTTGGTGGATTTCACCAAAATCAAAGTCTTCCTTTACCATCAATACTTGAACGCGTTCTGCGTTGAATGGTAAGTGTTTTTTTAACTGTGATCTCAAAATGCTTTTACGTTCCAGCAAAGTTTGATCCATTCGACATGAAATGGAATATCACATTTTATGTTGTGCCAGTGTATTTTTTATAAGGTATTTTTCAGTTGACTGAAAAAAAAATTCAATTCTGTGAGAATCGAAGTTGATACTTGTTCATAATATTAATCACTTTCTCTTATATGTGTTTGATATGTAAAACATGTTTTTTCCATTTAATTATTGCATTTAATATCTATTATTATTGTTCTTAGCTTATAAATATAAATATTAGAACAGTAAGGTTTTAATGCCTTATAGTTAAATAGTAATAATATTCTATTTTGCTTCTTTATTAATTATTTTTTCCATTAAAACTATGTGATATAAAACAATAAATTAACAATTAATACATAAGTAGATATAATATACATAAATGTATACTATAAATCACTGATAATTTAATATTGAATTTATGTATAAATTAATATTGTATTTTAAAACCAGGTGTCTACATTTAGATATTTTTATTTTACTTCCAACAGTTCTTGTTTATTATAAAGTATCTAATACATTTTTTTGGAATCTGAAAAATACATTTTACTAGCCAGCAGTTCATTAATATTTTTCTATAAATTGAGTTAATTTTTCATAGGTACTATGTATTTAAGTGCTAACAAAAATAGGTTTTAAAAATAAAAATCAAGTATTTTTATTAAACAAACTTGAGCGAGGGTAGTAATTTATTTTTTCATGGTAAAGTCATAAGAAATATACTTAATTAACTTGTTAAAAATGTATGTACATTAAATTATTACACTGCTGATCTGAATATTAAATATTAATATATCATTAATTTGATTTTATATAGATGTCAACATTTTAAAATAACTTTCTGATTCATAATATGCAATTAAAAGTAGACATTGTCATTTTAAAAATGTAAATAATTATTACAATTACAAGTTAAAGTATATTATAAAAATGTCTAAATATTTATAGTTTTATCTTTAACTTGTAAAAAAATTATTTTTTACAATTTCATGGACAATGACTTGGAAATAAGTTCTGCTTGTTAAAATTATGTTGTCTTTTGTTATGTGTAGTATTTATTAATGTTTTACCAGGGTTTTCACATATTTTTATTTGTATAATTAATTATTATTAATTTTGTTTTTAGATTAAAATAATTGTATAATCCATGGTCATATACTCTTGCCTAAATTATCACATTATTAAACGAAGGTTACATTTTTCAGTTACTATTATTATTAACCCATTGTTAATCACTATTTCATCAGTACTTTCGGTTAATTTTAAAGTTTATTGAGTTAATTAAATATTAATTTTACACTTCATGCATTTTGTTCCTTTAAATATTGAAATAATATTATGTAGGTTTATAATTTGCATAAGCATTGATAGTTAAAATGTACCTAATGTGAACAAATATATTTATTTACTAAAGATTTGAAATAATTTGAACAGTTTTATAGTTGATTATCAGTTTATAAATAGTGTAATACTATAATGTATGATATATTCAATTAAATGAAATCTATTAGTATTGTTAATAATATGTTATGTTCATTATAAATGTATAAAACAGCTTAATTTTTTTTTTATTTCAGATCCTAAAAACATGGCACTCACAAACTTAGAAGCATTAAACTTGGCCAATCATGATTTTTCACTTTCTTTGTATACTGTAAGAATTAATCATTATATTAAATTAAGTAATTTTTTTTATAGGCACTACATTTTTAATTTTTAAAGGAACTGGCAAAAAAAGAAACTGGGAATATTTTCTATTCTCCATTCAGTATTCATGTGATAATGTTCATGGCTAGCGTCGGAGCAGCTTCAACAACATTTGATGAAATGATTGCTACTATACATTTAAATAAAACTACTCACTCACTGGAAACATATAAAGAATTATTAGACGATTTAATTGTAAGTTTATTATTTTGGTCTGAATTAGTAAAAAAATATTTTTATGTTTTTGTTTTATTTGACTTATAACAAATTGACTGACTAAATTTTATTAATAAAATTTAATTAATAAGATATCATTATTTTTTAAATTGAATATAATTATAAATTATGTATTAATTTTTTTTTTGTATAGCTTATAATAAGTAAGTACATACATTTATTGTGTACTAATTAATTGTTACTTAATTGTTAATTGTGTTTTTTTTTTATAATTTTTGCTATTTTTAATTTCTTATGTACTTTTCTATTATAAAATTTCAATCAATGATAAAAAATTTTTAAATTCACATAAAATTAAGTGAATATACAAATAATATAACATAATTTATCATTTTTTTAGAGTGATAGTGAGAATTTAAAATTGGCCACTGGAATGTTTGTTGATACAAATTTTAATGTTAAAAGTAGTTATGTGGAAAACACAAATAAATATTTAAAAGCTACTATGGAAAAATTAAATTTCAAGCAAAATCCTGAAAAACAACGCCAATATATAAACAATTGGGTTTTACAAAAAACCAATGACAAAATCAAAAATTTATTCCCTAAAGGTTGTTAATTTAGTTGTATTTACATGTATTATTTAATTTAATTATACTCACTTGATTTTCTTTTTTTAAAGATTCTATTAATGAAGGTACTCCTTTAGTATTAGCAAATGCTATACATTTTAAAAGTGGTTGGGCACATAAGTTTAGAGATGCAGAAGATGAACCCTTCTATTTGACTCCTAACAACAAAGTAACAGTTAAAATGATGACACTGGTACATGATTTGAGTTATTATCATAATGATGAGTTGAAATTTGCAGCTCTTGAACTGCCATATGAAGTAAATTTTTCTTTAAATTTAATTTTTGATATTTTTAAGAATTTATAATTTTGTAATTTTGTTTAGCATCATGCTTTTAAAATGATGATTTTATTACCCGATGAAAAAGATGGTCTAAAAAACCTTGAGAATAATTTGTCTAAAATCAAAATTCATGAAATCTCTAATAAAATGAGCCAGTATCATGTAACTGTCAAATTACCCCGTTTCAAACTAGAACAATCATTGCAGCTTGAAGATACATTATCAAATGTGAGTATATTTAAAAAACAAATTCTTATACTTTTTATTAATATATTATTATATTTGTAGCTTGGATGTCCTACTATGTTCTCAAGAGCTGCTAACTTTTCTAATATTGCTGAAAGCGGCGATTTATATGTGAGTAAAGTTGTGCATAAGGCATATGTTGATGTAAATGAAAAAGGAACCGAGGCTGCAGCAGCTACAGGTAATGAAATATATTTGTGTATTGGGATTTTCGGTTATAATTCTTCAATTTACTCTAAGAAGTACTTTGAACATTTATTTCAAAACTTATTGGTTCTTAATTTTTAACCACTTGTGATGTATATGCAAAATTTAACTATATGAAAATAGTATCAGTGGCTGTCTAAAAAATGGTTTGCTTGGTTGTTTAAAATTGCTTTGTTGAGTCTATATTTTTATTTTAATAATAAAAATTAAGTACAATTATTAGTACTGTAAATTATTATTTAAATAATTACTTATTTATTATTAAAATTTCTTTCTTATGTTTATTAATTTGCTGTAAAATTAATACTATTATAAATTAATATAAACTTAAATTTTGGCTTCCAACATTATTAAAATAATTAATTATGGTTAAACACAAAATAAAAAAAAAAAATTGAAATATTACCAGGTATGTCAATTCGTAAGAAGAGATGTTTAAAAATGAATGAACCTAAAGATTTTGTTGCTGATCATCCATTTTTATTTTATATTTTGACCAAATTGGGTAGTATTATTTTTGTAGGTCGTTTGACCAATATTGAGACATTAGTTTATCCTGATAAAGATGAACTCTAATTATATATTAGAAATTGCATTGATTTATATTAGTTTTATATACGTTTATTTTCTTTGTATAACACATTTAATGGTATTATTTATAGTAAGAGTATTATATATTAGAAAATAATATTTATAAACGACAGTAAAAAAAATTTGTTAGTTAGTAATCTTAGTTCTGATATAAATGTATGATTATGTTATTAGGAATGACTATGCTTACTCGGTGTTTGATGATTCCCCAAGATTATGATAAAGTGGACTTTTTCGCTAATTGTCCATTCATCTTCTTTATAGTGGGCAAAAACAATGAACTTTTATTTTTTGGAAGAATACTAAACGTAGTTGAAAATTAAAAAATTAACCCATTGCTATTATATTTATGTCTTAATAATAGTTACCTAATTATCAGTATTTTGAAATATTAATTAAATGTTATAGATTATTTATTATTTTTATTTTGTAATGCATACATTTCTATTATATGTTAACTATATTTTCAAAAAAATTTATTTTTATTACTAAAACTAAATGTTTATATTATTAGTTGCTAATTGTTGTGTGATTTATATTTCTTTATTGAAGATTATTTTTTGCAGCTATATAACCTTTTAATATAACTCTTATACAAGAATATTATTTATTTTTTTTTAAACTTATTTCACATAAACCGCTGTGATAAAGTGTGCATTTTTTTTTTAAAAAAAGGTATGTTCCATTGATAATTTTGATTATAATTTATTTATAATATACAAAATGAACGATTATATAAAGTTTCATTGTTTTCATACGAGTTCAATGTTGTCCTTGCTCAGTGAGTTTTTACTTTAAACATCCAATGAACACTATAATAAATTGTATGTTTATAAAGTATTGGGATGTCTTTAATAATATTTATTAATAATAAATTATTTCTTTTAATCATATTTGATAGCTTGTTTTAAAAAATATTTATTTAAAATGCATTTACTTAAAATAGAAGATTAACGTGGGATCCCCACTAAAACATAAAATGGAATTATTAAATACTAATTTGTTACATTTATTTTGAAATTCTCTCAAATAATTCATGACAGTTTTCTTGGCATTTCATAAGATGTTAGAGAGGGATATCCTTAGTAAACAAATTAAAAATTAAAAAATGGAACTCATCTGTTATTAAATAACTTTCCCTAGTCAATCTCAATTTATTATATTTTTGGCTCATTTGTTTATTGTACTAGATTTATCAGATTAATACTATACTTTTAATGAATAAAATAAAAGTAAATATTTTATTATATAGTTTTAATTATGTTTTACAATTGTATTAATTTAGTTTTGACATTCCTGAACTACTTTTAATTATATGGATTTTTAAAATTGTATTTTGAATTGAGTATTTTATTAAAAATTGTAGTTTTATATGTTCAAATATATTGATATTTAAATTTATGAAATAACTTAAAATAGTTTAGAAAGAATGTCAGAATTGAAAAATCTATTAATTTTTATAAAAGATATCTGTATACTTATGTAATTCTGTTTATTTGTATATTATGTACATACAGTTTTATGACTGTTACTAAATGAACTATTAATGTTATATATTAAATTGGTACAAGGTAAGGTTCATATGCAATTTAGTTTAGTGTTGTGGTCTGTGTTGTTTTGCTTATTTTTCAGGATTCTGCTTGGGTAAACATTTTAAAACCTAATCTACTGTAAATCATCATCATAGTATTACATGTATATGTTCTATAGGCTGGGCTATGGACAACAGTATGAGTTTTCCAAGGACAAAACACAGAAGTGTATTCAATGCTGATCACCCATTCATTTTTGCTATTTTTTGGGGTTTTGACTTTTCTAACATGATTTTCATTGGTAGAATTATTTCGCTGTAATAATTATACCACATTGCCTATTTTAAACATATTAAATATGTTTAAATATTTAATTGTAATTATACATAATTATTTTTTAAGCTTTATGCATGATGAAAAGCTAAAGATAATAATTTGTTGGATTCATATATTGGGCAAATGTGTATGATATTTTTAAGTTAAACACTTTTTGAAACTACTTATGTTATTGTTACTATTTTTATTAAATTATAATCACTATAATATATTTTGACAACAATCAAATTGTTAAATCTAAAAACATTAGTATAGTCAATTTTGATTATTTTCGACAGTATTTCAGTTACTGGCACATGCAGACATATTACTAATATTGATCACAGTAAAATTTATAATAACAATATTGTTCACAAATTTTTATTGATAGCTCTTATGAATTACATAAAATCTATTGTTACTTAAGATATTGAATTTTGTAATCGTTTAAACTTATACACCATTTAGCTTATTTTTATCCTTGTTAATGTGGCATGATTATTCAGGGTCCAAATAATAATATATCTACATATAATTGTGCACAAATAGTATTTTTTTTTTAATAAAAAGACTTATTTATTTGAGTAATTTTTTTTTTGTACAATAAGTAATATTTTTGATTTATAATATAATTTGATAATTTATTAACAGTTTTACGAAAAATAAAAATACATTTACTTATTATTTATTGTTAAACTAGTATTTTTTATTCATTGTTTAGATATCCAATTTCAAATAGTTAAAGAAAGTTCCATTTTTCATTTATTCAATTATTTTTAATTTCTATGTTGAAAATAATATCTAAACAATGTCTAATAATTATAATATTTCTAAAGTAAAAATACACATAGGCGCATTTTGAACTTTAGCTCAGATTACAATATTTGGTTGCTCCTATAGTGTTATTATGTGAGCTCAGTATCTAAATTGTACAGTAATTGTTATAGTGATATAGTTTATTTCTATTTTTTTTTTTTCATTATGGTTTAAATTATATTTTTATTTTGTAAAAATCAGATTAAATCAGAATCTATTTTAATTTTTCTATATTTTGTCAGTGATAAATAAAATAATTATGTTCTATTGTTTCTGTACAGGTTATGAGATCATGTTAATGATGCTATCTAAACCAAAACCTGAAGTAAATTTTGTCGCAAATCACCCTTTCATTGTTTTAATAGTTTCTGCCAAATGGAATGTATTGTTCATGGGCCGTTTGTTACAGATATGAATTTTAAATAATTTTTAGTATCAACTATTAAAGTAATTATTTCGTTCTAATTATAATTCAATATATATTAAACATAATTCAACATTTTACGAAAAATAAATATTTTATACCAATTTTTCATTTTTATTGTTTACGGACACAACAGGTACAAATAAATTTTAAAAATTAAAAAAGATGAATATTTAAAAAATCATATTAATTATTTATGAGATCTTTTCCTAGTAATAATTTAGTATACAATTTTTTAAATCAAATTATAGTCAATAATACGATTTTTTTTAAAAATAATTTAATAGAAATACACTTTTAAATAATAATAAATAATTACTATATAATAGGTTATAGGTAATAATAGTCAATCAAAAATATTAATCAAATTAATTTTAATAATAAATAATAAATAATAATATAATAATAAGAAAAAATAAATAAAGATTTTTTTTAATAAATCTTCCTAATCTTTATTGTAATAAAATACAACTATTTGCACATATTCATAACGCCTTCATTTTTTGGTTTTTATAATTCTCAATTGTTTTTAAAGTTTTTTTTAATCTGGTTTTAACTACACTTAAAATGTTTACGCAGGTAAATTTGGCGCAAATTAGCTGTCTGAAAAAACATACCTTTTTTTATTTTGGCGCAAATGGGCAATGCCCCCAGTTGGTATTGTTCAGGAAAGTTTTTTAAATACAATAGTTTATTGATTATTAAAAACTTCAAATATAATACTATGATATACATAATAGTTTTGATCAGTGTTTTAACTTAAGGCATTGAATATGTGTTGATTTGTTTTACAAAAATTACTTGATTATAATTTTTTCAGCTATGCATTTATAGTGTTTGCTCCAGAGACCAGAGTTGGTCCCTCAAATGTATGTAGGCCCCGGGACCCATTAGAAATCAGTGCAATTGCATCACTTGGTACCCTACATGGGTGCTACTTTAGGTCAGTAGGAAATGTTTTTTTTTAGTTAAATTTTTTTTGGTAAAATGAGGAATTGAAATTATTTTCATAGGTCAATTTTATTCCAAAACGGATTCGTCTAACTACTATTTCTGCTAGTGTTAATGTATTATGATTGTTTGATGCAGGTAGTTTTTATGTAATATTGAATGTACATTTTCAAATTTTATGTACTTAAATTTGTGTTGTTTTATGAACTAAAAATCTTAAAATAAGCGCTAAAATTCTGTAAAATCACGAATATATCAATAAAATAGCTGTAAGTGTAAATATTTCTTTACATTTTTTTTCTTGAAAACAGCTTAAAAATTATACCTACTCAGTAAATAATTATTTTTGAATAAATATAGTTTTTAAAAAATGAAAAAAAAACATGAGGGTAATGATAATTTTAATTTTATTTACGGTAATTTACGGTATTTAAGATGAATAATATAAATCAAATAAAAAAGCACAACTCATGCGTTTTGTGATTCGTCGATAATGATAAATCGAGTTAACATCGGTTTCTTATAAAACTTACCGTCTACATCAATCTTGAATTTTATTCAAATTTGTCAATTACTTGTATTGAATGAATGGAAGCACTCGTCATGTCGAGCTATGTGTCAATTCAATCATTTGCCACTGAATGGATAATTGCATGGTTTTTTTGGATTTAAGAGAGTTCGTTATAATTAAGTAATTCGTTACTAACATCGGGGATGGTCCTCATTTTAAAACAAGTTCTATTACCATATATCAGAACGTATTCTTGTGTATTGAACGACTGTAAAAATGGTGTAGTTTTTCGCTTTGTACTCTGTTTAATGCACACATTTAATAACACTATTTTTATTTTAAAATACTATTTTTAATCTAATAGTAATTGCGTAGGGCGATGGTGTCGGTTGTATCTACGTTAAACGTTTATTGGTAGGATTTAAAATCACTAATAGTTAAAAAGGTACCTATAATTATTTGCTCTACGAAAACTTAATATCGGTTTTATCATTTTCGTTTCAGATTTAAATACATTCTAAGTACATTTTTCACGATACGCATGTACACGGTTTTGACCATAAATTAATTTAAGATTGTTGTTTATTATTTATTATTTTTGTTGTGCAGGTTTGACGTTTGTAGTAACTAGTGCGGTACACGTATATCCGCCACCGCCTGAAGTACAATTTGTCGCTGATCATCCTTTCTTTTTGTCTATATTGTCGCGCAATAATGACGTTTTATTTGTCGGTCGTTTATCAAAATTGTAATTCGTAGTTCTTGTAAGAGTTACGCTTGTCGTCATCACATTTATTAAATCATATATATACATTAAATTCATGTTATATTATATTAAGTTACTGGAACAAATCAATTTCATCCAATTCCATTGGATGTTCCAATAGTTCCATTGAAATATATTTTTGTTATTAGCATTATGAAGTCCAACTTCGATCAGATTTTAATAGATGTATATTTTATATACAGTATGTTGTTATTGTTGTAATCTGTGAGTTTAATTGACTACTTTAATATTATTAATTCATAAATAAATAAATAAATAGTTAATGTATAGAAAAAAGTAATAAATGCTTAGCCGGAATATTATTATATATTTAATTCGAAAATGGTCTTACTTTAATTATAATAACACCTCAGGCCAGGCATATCAAACTCTTAAGTATCAGATGGGCTAAATATATTGAATAATTTACTACGCGGGCCACAATTAAACATTTTACAAAAAATAAATATTTTATACCAATTATTAATTTTTACTGTTGACGTGCACAACAGGTACAAATAAATTTTAAAAGTTTTGAAAAAAATGAATTTTTAAAAAATCATATTAATTATTTATGAGATAGGTTTTATTTAAACGAAAAGAAAAAAAATAATACATTTTATTCGGTTGCATTTATAATTAGGCTTCTTACTTCAATATTCATAATGATTTATTTAATTTAGTTCATTTTCAATCTATTACTTCAGATATTGTAAGGTATTCGATAGATTTCATATTATAATCAAGGTATATTTATCCATGATTGAATATCGACCGAATTTTTTTACAAAATCAATTTTCTTGATTTGAAAGCTAAAATTTTCTGAAATTTGATATGAATTAGATATGATTTGTATTTACTCAAAAACTGTCATAGCGTGTAGTATATATATAATAAAAAGTTTCGAATTATTGTGTAGGTCAGTAGG